CTTTTCTGTATAAAAGATTTTAATTAAATTTTAATAAAGACAGAGACATGGTCTCACCATTAATATTTAAAAAAAAATAAAAACCAGAGTTGGAAGGGTGAAGTTGTTGCACCTCCAAGTGGCTAGAACAGAGTTCGAATCCTACCAATGACGAAAAATTCGAATTTTCAGTACAGTGTTATAGCAAACTGTGTATAAACAAACAGATCGATATCTGTAATCTGGTCATACCAGCTCATACTGAGAGGCCGTGGAATAATAGTATAATGTATGAGTTATACAAAACCCGAGTGAAGCGGCTGTGTAAATCTAAAGTTGGCGTACATGGGAGCCCACTTGGCAAGACCCGAGTAGAGAGATAGTACAGATCTTTGACAGTACTATATAAAGGATTATTAACTGGAAACCAGAAAACTAAATGGGACCAAAGTGTTTTGCAAGGCACTCCACCAACCAGACCGCCGGAGAGTAACTGAAGGAAAAGAACCTAACCATGAGAACTAAAAGCAGGTTACAGCTTTTCCGGGCCATCAGAATTAGAAGTTTGGGACGATGGGTGTATAGCGGATAGTCTGTATAGTAGATGCTGAGGTCTGAGTGAACTCTATAAGGGTATAGTAGGTAATGGTAGTAGCTTTGGCTTACAAATACTTGGTCTCGGTCTAGACGTAAGTTACTGAAGTAGATTAGATAATACGGTATAGTAGGACAGAACTGCTCTAGCAGGTGATGTACTTGAAGATGAATTAGAAAAAAAGAAAATCATTAGTGTGAATTTTGTACTTTTGTATATTGTTAATTTGAAGTCATCATTGTTAAAAAATCATTAGTAAGAGTTTTAACTTCTTGTGCTATACTATATTTGAGTTGTTACAGTTGGTCTGTATTAGATTTACTTTTTTATACTATGTTATTCTTTCTGTAATGCTATTGCTTTATATAATATTGTATTTTTTTAGAGAAACTAGATAATTAAAAAATATATTTTATAAAATAAATATAATAAAATTTTGAAAAAAATAATCATAAAATAATCTGATTTTATTTAAAATATAATTATGATACAATTTGATTATTATCAGATTTTTTTCTAAATAATCAGATTAGTTTCTGAATATTAAGATAGATTGGTATTTCAGAAAATACTTATTTTTTAGAATATTTTTAGAATATAGTCTTCTCTCTTTATAATTACACTTTTGGACACACCAAAAATCGTGATTATATAGAGATGTAATTATATATTAAAATCAGACTAATCATATAATAAAATAGCATAATATTGTTATATAAAGCCAAAAACTTAAATTTATAAATTAACCAGATCATTAAAATACTTATCAACTTTAAATAGCCTAACACAAGTTTAGTAACTTAATTTAACGAATTATTTTAGCAAAATTCTTGATAGATATCAGTCAAGACGGATTAGATTATTTTTGAAATATAGAAAAATTAGTAAAGTCATAAGCATGAGAAATTTTTGAACAGGTATTATACATAAAAGCAGTATATCAATATTAATAATTAGTTTAATTAATAGATTAATATTTATTAGCGATAGAAGGATAAATAAATATAATCTTTTAGACTAAATATATCTCAAGGTAGCATAAAATCTGTAAGTTTAGATACTTATTAATAAAAATGTTCTTAAATATCTTGATCAATTGTTAAAATGTATCAGGAATTAACTTTTAATTAGTGGTAAACATTTTTAATCGATCAAAGATGCTTGTTATTAAGATAAATAAAACACTTTACTTATGTCAAAGAAAATCTTAAATAGTAAGAAATATTCAGAGAATTTATCATACTGGTTAACAAAATTTTGCTCTGAATCAATCAAAACTCTATAACTTTGTTATCAACACACTTAAGTAATGCTAATCTTATATTTTTTTTAATATTTGCAAACTTTCAGTACTATTTAAGTATGGTTAAGGAAAAATCTTATATTTTTTTTGCTAAACTCAGTTATGATTCAAACATATGTATCACATATGTTTCGGATCATGAATAAGTTTAACAAAAAAAACAAGAATGATGTTTTCTCTTAGCTGCACTTATTTAATAAACCACTTAAAAAGTTACTTAAGCATTAATTGAGTCTTCATTTTGATCTATCATAGTAATTGAGCATAATAATATGTATCACCATTTTTATTATTGATTTTTATTAAAATGCTATAAGAATAGCTAAAATTGGCATCATACTTGAGCACTATTTTGATCACTAGGAAAATACATCTAGGTTGACATTTGAGAGCACCCTAAATCATGTCATATTATTTGTTATTTTCAAGTTGATTACCAAAAGTAGTAAGATATATACAACTACAAATATTATTGTTATCAAAATTAACTACTGGAGAAATTTGAATAACGATAAGAATTCAGTTCAAAAAGTGCCAACTCACACATCTTTTTGATGTTTGTACTTTTTTTTTGAACAATGCCAGCAATACAGTTTTAGGCCGGAAGTGATTTTATTAAACAATTGAAATGATAGTACGTACATAACTAGGAAGTAAGTAAATGACTGAGAATGGCCAGGAATGGCAATGATATCCTGAGCAATTGCAAGTTATTATACTAGATATCACTGTAGGATTGATAAACCAGTGGTTTCCCACTTGCAGAAGCAAGCTGGCTATGCATAGAGAAATATAAACATGTAAGTAGAGAAATGATTGAATCACATAGCCTTTTTCTGGAAAAGTTAAGTGGGTCAAGAAAATTTAGCTTCAGGTTTTTCAATACTAGTAAGTTAATTGTTTACAAGCTAGGGTAATTGTATCTTTGTTTTGTCCTTTCTCACATATTTAATAGTATACATGCTGCTGCATTACTTTCATATGATCCTTAGCTTCCTTTGGTAAAATCGATATTGCACCTGATTTTGTTTTGTAGTTCTATAGTAATGATATGTGGCTGCTTCACTTTTTGATTATGTAATCTACCATCACTCTATATAAATATATAAACTTGCTATACAAGACTTTATGCACTTATAAAATATGTACCATATTCCTGGTATACTCATTATTGCACTCTGTTCTTGGTGTCTAAACCATAGTTATGTGTTGTAACCAATTTTAAATGTTTTTTTTTTTGCATATAGTTAACAAGCCTTATCTTTTTATATAATTTTAAATTCAAATTTTCAGGTATTGTATTATCTCAAAATAACACCGCAGGGTATTATTTTGGAATAATACGATACCTAAAACCAACTAATTAGATACAAAAAAGCGAATAAATATTTAAAATTTAAAAGACAAAATAATGAAAAATATATTTATTTTTATTTATATTATATAAAATATTTAAATTTTCTGAAAAAATCAGTAATAGAACTTTGTTTTTGTGAATTTAACAATATTCTATTTGTAATTTTCTCATATTTTTTAAATATTTTTATATCATTCATATTAAAATTTGAAGATTGTTGTTGTTCAAAAAAAGTTATCCAAGTTTTTAATGCATTATATGCTTCTTGAATAGGCACTTCAGATGGTTTTTTATTTGAATCATCAGAACCACTTTCAACATCATCACGTTCTTTATTTTGAATAAGAGTAACTATTTGTTGGTCGGTTAATGCTTCTTCAGTTGCAATAGTTTGATCAATATCATTAAAATAATTGATTATTGCAGAATTAAGAGCGGCAGCACAGTTATCTTCTATAGATAATTCATCTAAAAGCTCATTAAGCTCACTATTCTCAGATAAACTTGCTTCATTCTGAAGATCTGTAGTATAAAAAACTTCTTCATCATTAATGCTAGAAAGAATCCTAGTTTTTTTTTAGCAACGAATTATTACATTTTTATCAACAGCATTCCATGCGTCTGCAAGGTAATCAATAGCTTGTTTTATAGTTAGCTTGTTTCTTTTTTTTAAAAAAAAAAAAAAAAAAATTAGTAATGCTCTAAATAGTTTATAGATTTGGCTAAACTATTAGTTAAAAATCTACAAATACAAATAATAAACTTGCTTAATAATATAAGTTTTTAAATCACAATTATAAAAAATAGTTATTTAAACAACTCACTCATTCAATATTAGCTAAAATAAAAAAATAATAGAATTAAATTAGAGATATTGTATCTACTAAAATATCCACAAACTAGAAAATTTTATTTTTAATAAGTGAGAGAATACCTTATATTTATTTTTTGAATTCCAATTCTATTTCGATAACAATAGCTAAAACTATTTAACAAATCTATTGTATATATAGTACAGGAAATCTAAAAAATCTAAGATTAACTAAATACATTGGAGATAAGCTAATTTAGTAGTGGCTTATTTTAAATTTCAATAGTATATATAAAATAGGTACTATTAAGTACTTACATATTATTTTTGGTGTACTATCTATGCAAAGAAGTTAAAAATTTTAGATCCTTTGCCTTGTTGAGATTAATAATATGCTACGTACATATGTACGTACTAGGCTATATACTATCTCTATTTAGGGAGATTAAATTTTTTGTATTATACATACATACATATGTATATAGATACATATGTAACCATCAACTAGCTTGTTAAAAATTTATGTTTAATATTATTTTACGTAGCTTACAGTCCTTATTAATATTCGTGAAGTTGATTAAAATAGATAAACAGATAGTAAATAAAATATTTTGTTAATAAACTTTTTACTCACTATTAAGATTTAGTATTTATCCCTTAAACTATCAACTTCAAATATAATATAAGACTACAATTGAGTATAATTTGATAGCTTAATTACAGATAATCAAAAAATAATAATAAAAAGCTTAATATTATAATCACAAAAACTCTTTCCGATGATCTTCTGATCAACAACAACAAAAACCAAACTACAGCAAAACGTATAGAAAAGTGACGAAGTGGATACTAAAACTTGGTTCTATAAGTAGGAGCAGCTTGTTGTTGATGAAGTCTAAGCTGTCTAGGCGTGAAATACCGAGGAGCGAGCACCAAAAAGAACGGACAGTTTTCTTTGGGGTCAAGTTTTCTTTCTGGCGGACTCTCCAAAGTATTCGGCATTCAAACCAGAAGGTTTATTCTGAGAACAAGTCTGTAGAAGTAGCCAAAAGTGTACTTCTAAGTGGTAGAAATAGAGAAGCTAGACTATACAACTGTAACTCTTACAAGAAGAACCTCACATACTCTTGTTGGCCCACCACTTTTTTTCGAGGAAATTTT